TTCTTCCCATAAAGATGGAGGTAAAACTAACATCCCCATCTCTAACACAGGGCTGTGTTAACAAGATTACGTGAGGTAATGAATATAAAACTGGAAGCTTAACAATTACTAGTATTAATAAAATAATTTATAGCAGGTCAAAGTGATTGGAAAATTTCAAGTACCAAATACACAGCTGTGCAGCGACCACTGCCAGATCACCAAGGGAAGCCTGTTTTAAGCTCAAAAGTCAAGAATATGTCTACACCCGATTTCTTCTGAAAGCCAAGGATACAGTGGGTCCTAGCAAGTTTATAAGTTTTTGTAATACAATTTATGATAATTTTTGGTAATTATAATTTTTTTTCTGACTTGGGGAAGGAGGTAGCACTTTCTGTAATAGAATACATGGAGTTGTATTGCAAAATTAAAATTTAATTGCAAAATTAAATATACTTCTATTTAATGTGGCTATTATCTCTTACCTCTCTTCCCGGACAGTGCATTTTAGCAATGCTTCTGTACTTCTCTACTGGTTTAATGCATTTACTTGCTCCGAAGTCTTACCAGCACTCTTCTGGCAGTCTGCTATTCTACTTTTGAGTAAGATTGCCAAATAAAAACAAGTCTGGACTTAGTAAGGAGAGACTTTTATTCAAAAGGAATATTGCAGAGTGAGGGGGGAGATTATTGTGATAAGGAGAACACTTGGACCATAAGATCTGTGAGTGTCTCAGGAATTAGGCAAAAAAGAGTTTTTCTTTTTTAGAGACAAGTAAACAAGGTGAGAGACAGTATGGGCAATTGAGATGAAAGGTGGCATGACTGGATAGTAGGTCAGAGAATATTTTACCCTGAGGCCAGTCTGTTTTCAGGAGGGGCTGGATGGTGGCTCAGGCCAACGGTGGGCCAACTTTTAGGGGCCTGGAAGTAGGAGAGAATCTTAACCAGTTTGGTTTACAAGCATTTTGTTCCAATTGATCTGTGGGACAAGTCGTTCAGCTGATCATTTATGAGGCACTGAAAGGGAAATTCGGAGGGTCTGTGTCTTTGTCGCAGGTAAACAAGGGCAGCATTTGTGAGTCTTAACTCTAAGTCACGTGGGGAATGGTGGTTCTTTGCAAGAATCTCTTTTCTAGAGCACAAAGGAGAAGGGAGTTTTTGAATTTTCACTGTTTTTCCAGATCATAGGACTCAAGTAAAATCACTGTTGGGAATGATTAAGTATCAATTAAGATTGCTTTTAGGGGCAAGTAATAGGAAACTGTAATAACAGTGACTCAAAGACAAGTTTATTTTTCTCACTTAACAAGTAGGGCAGAGGTCAGTAGTTGCTGGCAGAGGTATAGCAGATAATGAATGATGCCGGTAAAAGGCTTGGGTCCTTTTACTCTTTCTCCTCATGTTTGTCACAAAATAGCTGCTGCAGCTCCAAACATCCCTATTCAAACTGCCTAGGAGACCAGCAAAGTTCGCTGTGTACATTGCTACAGAGGTTCTCTTAGCAAGAAAAAAGGTACTGTATGCTATACCAAATCCTTGTTTCTACTGGTCATTGTATTCTATACAAGATATTTACTCATTCTCTACTACTGATAATTTTTTACTTTATTTTCAAGTGGAGCTTTAGAAAAGTACACACCATGTTTTACAGCATATAAAGAAATGAAGACATTGTTAGAAATAGTTTTCTGGAGGAGCTTTAGGGAGCCAATCCCCTCTTGAGCCAGTCACCACCTATTTAGAATCATCTATTGAAGTACTAGTAATTTTAGAAACATATATACAGAGAGTTTATATTTCTGATTTTAAAGAGATCTTACACATCAGTAATAAAAAATTCTCCCCAATCAAGTTAAGTTTCATGCTTTTTCCTATCAAATAGTTTCTAGAAACAATGATACCTAATATTGATTAGCTGCTCCTGTGCTACTGGCAAGAGTATAAATTTGTGTTAACTTCTTAAAGTCTTATAAAAAAGCATAAAGAATCTTAAAATGGTAATACCCTGTACCCTAAAATTTATCTCTAAGGAAGCTTTCATAATGAAAGAATGAGAATTATGGACCAACTTGGTCCATATGAAATAATAGATTATTCCAGCAATATTTATATTTTTAAAATATTGGAAATGTGTAACTTATGATAAGAATTAAACTAGGTGTGACCTCTTTATATCTTGTTAAAAATAAGAATACAAGTTGTTTAAGCCATCCTATTCCCATTTTGTAACATATAGAAGTATTTATGTACTTAAATATATCAAATATTAAAATAGGTCCTTGTGGATTATGGAGTTTTGTGCCATTTTTATTTATCTTAATCTTTTTTTGACATTTTCCATTTGTCCTATTATGAATATTGTTTCTACAATTATAAATAAATTAACTTTATTTTTAAAAAGACTAAAATATGTTTGTTGAGATTCTTTTTAGAGAGAAATAATGCAAAGAAATAATGGGTATAAAAGTGCCTTGATCCCCAGAATTTGGGCAGGCTGTTGATTACTTGAACATTTTATTGATAGAAGAGGGATATGTTACCAAGCATTTTGTTCCCCTGGAGTCTTGGCATTTCTCAGTTCTGCTATGAAGGGAGTGTTTGAAGGAAGTTGTAACAATAGTTCATTCTTCTGTATTCACGTAAATCACATCATTCTATTTTTCTCTTCCTAAGGGGGCTTTCTGTTTTTCTTTTCTGTGATATGTATAGGCCTGAGGTCATTAAGGGCAGTAACTGAATTCAGAAGGGAAAGGGAACCAGTTTAAGGAAACAGTTTGTCTTAATTTATCCAGATAACCAAAGTTACATCATGTAAGCTGAATCATTATCTCAGTGCATAATTATCCCTCTTGCTCAGTCAGTGTTTACAGAAAATGGGGCCCCAATATGTTTGAATAAGGAACTAACAGTCTCTCTTCCACAGTTGATTAGTAAATAAATGGGTATGTATAAACCCTCACTATCTTCCCATATGCGTGAGGGGAGGGAATACAAGGTAGATGTTTCTCCTGACAGTCTGCCCTTCCTTTGGGGTATCCACGGCACAGCTCGAGACGGGTTCAGATCTACTAGTTTGTCATTTGCTAGTTGGAAACTCTTGGTATAAAGTCACATACTTTTTAGCCCTGGAAGAACTTTATGAATTCAGTTTCAGTTCATCTTCCATTTCTTACCAGGTGCTTTAACATACATATGAGATTCTTAAACTAAGATGCGTTTTTCTCTGGGTTATGCTCTCTGAACCAGGAATCTAGGTCTTGCAGCCTCAAGGTCTCTAGAAAGTATCACCATGTTTACTTCTTGACTTCACATAAGTCCTTGGCATGGGGTTTAAAAGGATGACTTTGTTCATGTTCGATTAGCCAGTAACATTGCTTTAGCACATGGAATAATGTGTCAATCTGAAGGCATTGTTTTGTTTTGTTTGTTCACTCTTGCAGGAAATTAAGCTAAAAGCCTTTGGTTTAAATTTTTTTATTTAAAAACTATTTTTTTAGAGATTTTATTTATTTATTTGTGAGAAAGAGAGCGCATGCACAAGTGAGGAAGGGAGAGGAAGAAGCAGGTTCCCTATTGAGCAGGGAGCCTGACCTGGGACAGGATCCTAGAACCTAGTGATCATGACCAGAACCTAAGGCAGATGCCCAATTGCCAGAGAACCCAGGTGACCCACGTTTGGTTTAATCTTAATAGTAGAGCCTTTAGTAAGGGAAGGGAATTTTTAGTTGCCATTATACAGAAAATAAAATGTGTAGCATCGCCAACTCCAACCCAGAACCCTCACAAAAACAAGGATATGGACTCATGTGGGGAAAAGGAAAAAAGAGGGAAATCTCTTGTTCTTCGGAATCTGGAAATGGTCTTTTTTTATGAATAATGGGGACTAATGTGATTTGAAGGTGTTGTTTCTTCCCTTACATACTGGATCTTAAGTTAAAAGAAGTAGTTGTTGAAAAATTCTGTCTTGGAATTGATAAAACAGTGTGTTGGATTTCATTATCCCCTGTGGGTATCTAAAATAGCAACCTGTCCCCTGAATTCTCCCACTTGGATGTGTATAAGCATCTCAAACTCAAAAGGAGAACTCCTAACTTTCCTACAACCCACAAATCACCTCTCCCCAACATTCCTCTGTCTTAAAGTATGAAGCTCTCATTTACCTAGTTGTTCAAGCAGAGGTTCTAAGAGGCAATTCTTTGGTTTCTCTTTACCCACAGGCAATCTGTCAGCACTTCCTGTTGACATTACTGCTAAATATATCCTTAAATCACTGGACTTCTCTCCATCACTACTGTCACCTCCTTGTTCAAATTTCTGTCATCTCTTATCTGGACTACTGCATTGGTTTTCAAGTCCATCTCCTTGTTCCCTTATGAACTACTCTCTATCAAGCAGCAAGAATCATCATTTTATTTATTATTTCCTTATTTAAAGTCACTCTTGGGTTTTCCATAGTAGTCAAAATTCTTATCCCTTTCCCTGGTTTATAAAGCCCTTTGGAATTTGGCCCCCACTACCTCTCTGATTTCAGCCCATACCACTCTCCCCAACCACAGTTCTCTGGACCCATGACAATCTGTTCTTTGAGCATGCCAGTTCATCACCCTGAGGGTCTTTCCTTTACCAGGAATGAGTTTTCCTTATCTTCTCATGATCAGCTCATTCTGATCTTTAGAATAGGATGTTCTGATAAAGGTTATCCCTCATACAGGCCTTTTCTGACCACCTGATTATATAGGAACCCCTCTCCTTCAAACTAGGCACTACTAATTATAAAACTTTCCTTATATATATTATTCAGATTACCTAGGTAGCATTTATAGCCATTATCACCACCAATGTCTATAAGTGAATATAAGACTCATGAGAGCAAGGGCCTCATCTGTTTTTTCATCATTGTGTTAATATGGTAGTGAATAATGGTGTTGCATGAATAGCTGTTTTTCATAAGCTGTGTGATCCAGCTGTCCCTCAATTTGACAATCAATAGGTTGTTTCTGCCTGTTCTGTTTTTATAGCAAACTGGACTTTATGAGTATAAGGTCTATGGTGTTCTGGGCAATTGTCTGCCGGATGTACTTGCAGATGTCTATATGGACGTAGACTACAGAAAACAATGGGATGAATATATTGAAGGTGAGTGACAGATATTATTAATCACCTTTTAATCATCTCTAGAAAATAATACATATTCTTATTTATCTAATGCATAGAAAACAGGTTTAATCTCTACTATATTATGTTTTATTTTTAATTTTGTTTGGAAGTCATAAGTGCTGGGCTGAAACATGCCCTTGTGGTTCTCTGCATGCTTTTAGATTCCACTCTCCAATTTGCTCCAGGGGCTACTTTGTTCTCACTGTAAGTTTGTCATCATCCCATATATCTATCATAGAGGGTTTCCTGGAGGACATATCTGACCTGGAACCAGCACTGGCTTCAGAGCAGAATTAAACGGAGGCCTTACCTGTACCAGAAATCCCAGCATTATGAAATCTGTCTGGGAACTGGCTGTCTTATAACTGGAGGGACCTCGGATTTCTTTGAGTTCCTTTACCCTCTGTCTTCTCGTGGAATCAGAGTTGAAGAGTGCCCATGGGGTATTCTCATCAAAAGTTCAATCACTTATGTGCCAACAAATTTAAATATCACTGGTTACCTTCCAATACCCTGCTACATTCAAAAAAATTTGTATTCACCTTTGTGCAAAAAGGGATAAAAAATAAAAGTAGTACAGTTGGGGCAACAGCCCAAGAGCCAGTGGGGCAGAAAAAGTCAACATCTCCTCAAATGGAAAATGTGGGCACTCATCCACAAGTGTCTTTGGGGCAGGAATTAACCTATAAATTCTGGATAGTGAGGCAACCTTGTTGGTCCTTGGCATGGTGGCTGTCTGAGGATTGCGATGCATGGTAGAAGCTGGACAGGTGCCCATGGACATCATCTTTTAACAGTTCATAAACTTTTAAATCTTGTTCTGATCCAAATTGTGTCTTGGAAGTTGAATCAAGTTTTATAAACAACAAGATTGGAAAACACAAAAATACATAAGAATGCATATGGGTGAGAGAGTGGGAGGGTGAGGGGGTGAGTTGTTTGAGGCCATCTGAGGCCCAGGAAACAGCATGAGTAAAGCAAGGAAGGCATGAAACAGCATGGCATGTTCAAAAACTGAGTGATTTCGTTTTATTGGCTTGTCAGTGTAGCAGAATCTAGAGCTAGGGAGGGGGGTATGTCCAGATCCCTACAGCCCAGCCTAGCCACCAGGCTACAGTGCTTAGATTTTACCCTAAAAACAGCGGACAGCTATGAAAGGCATGAAATAGGTGATCCTCCTGTCACTTAGAACTGGGAGTGGCCTCTGCCACTCAGTCACAATGCACTAGAACTGCAGAGCTAGCCAAGGCGCATGTAAACTCTGAAAGACTTTTGCTAGAGTCGGGACTCTTGGCTGCATACAGTAAGAAGTTAACAAACGCCAGTGTGAAGAAAAGGAAAAAGAGTTCATTGGTTCATGGCATTGAAAAGTCCAGGGGTTTCTGACTTCCAGGACAGCTGCATCTAATGCTTACTTTGTCCATCCTGACTCAGTTTTCTTCTGAGTTGACCTAAATCTGAGGCAGAATCTTATGTCATGACAAAGACGGCCACGAGAAGATCCAGGCTTCTAGTCTAGCCATGTAAATAACCCCACAGGAACAGGAATGAGCATTCTACTTTCCTAGTCATGGCAGCAGGAGTCCCACAGTTTGCTGTCATGGCACCCTATGGATGTTTGTCATGGTTTGGTCTCTCAGTGTTTTTCTTTCTTTTTTTTTTTTTTATGTATGCTAGTCACACACACACACAGAGAGAGAGAGGCAGAGACACAGCCAGAGGGAGAAGCAGGCTCCGTGCACCGGGAGCCCGACGTGGGACTCGATCCCGGGTCTCCAGGATCGCGCCCTGGGCCAAAGGCAGGCGCTAAACCGCTGCGCCACCCAGGGATCCCTCTCAGTGTTTTTAAATGCCCTTCCTATCTAGGGTGAATTATGATGCTCACCCATGCAAGGGAGAAGGTTCTCTGCCTCAGTCTCTTTAGCAGCCATAGTTCAGTGATGCAATATAGACATTGCCAGTAAGACAACGTACAGCTTCACTTTGAGAGAGAACACCATGAGCAAGCAGGCAGCATGCACAATAGGTTTTCTGGTGATGATAGGGCTAAGGTATCTGACTATGGGAGAGACAGTTGCAGAACCTCTGATGTTTGGCACGTGGCATCAGCCATTCGCACTATAGTGTCTAGTCCAGTAGCAGCAATAGTTTGGCTTCTCTGGAACAATTCTGAGGTTCTAAGTCTAAATCTGGTGTTTCTAGATACTCTTTTTTTTTAGGATTTTAATTTAATTTTAGTGAGAGAGCGAGAGTGTGCACAATTGGGAGAGGATTAGGGAGGGAGGGAAAAGGAAGGGGAGAGAATGTCAAGCAGGTTCTGCACTGAGTGTGGATCCTAACATGGGGCTTGGTCCCCGACTCCAAGATCAAGATGAAATCAAGAATCAGATGCCCAAATGAGCTACACAGGTGCCCTGGTCCTTCTAGATATTCTGTGATATATCTGATATACCTGAGAGTCTTTACTCCACCATTTTTGGCCTGAATGTGTTAGAGTGACAGGTAAGACCCTGTCCAGATGAATCATCCCTGAAAAAATCACTAAGGCCATGTCTTGCTCATTTTTGCCAGCTCTGAAATCAATGCGGAGTCAGTCGTGCTTAAACCACATAGTCAAGGAGCAGGGGAAGGATGATACCCTGAAGGAGAATTGAGATTGTTGGTCCAGGAAGGGGGAGGTGATGTTGGACATGAAAAGGTAACATGTCCACTTCTTCCCTTACTTTCAAGGGCTATCTTTAGCCTCTCATGGCACCATGTGTTGGCAAGCACTTTAATCCATAGTCTGCTTTTAATAGATTTTGTTTCCAAAGCTGAATTAAATAATACATTTTCCCCATAAGCATCTCCTCAAGGGGCTCTCGTGGTTACATCAGCAGCCTTGGCATGGCTCCTTCTCTAAATGGTTAGTACGGAGGGTACTGCGTAGCTCAGTGTCACAAGGTGTACATGTCATTGAATTCCTTTGCTTTATCCAGCCAGAGTATATGAATATTAAGAATGATGGAATAGAATTCATTTCCCAGTTGAACACACTAGACTGGGTGATTGAGTCCCGGGCAAGCTGTAATAGGTCAAGAAATCCAGAGAGGTCTCAAAACATTTGATACTCTAGTGACATCTGGTGGTTGCCCTGATTTAAAAACCTGAACATTTATTTTTGGAACCTGATTTTGTTTCATTGTGTTCTACTTGAGAATCTTGTTTGTGCTACACAATCCACATGTTTTGTTGAGTTAGTTTATATTTCACCATGTTTTTATGTCTACCAGAGTGTGTCCTGGGGAACAAGCTTTCAACATTAATAAATCTGTATGATTTTTTTTTTTTTTTGAATCTTTGCCTTATGAGCTAGTGGTTTATCATGTCCTTAGAGGTCATCAGACTGAGGCTGCTTGTCAATTGGTGGCCAGGAAGCTTCCAGATACTTTAACTTCTTTTGTTCTCTCTAGAACTCTACGAATTGGAATACAATGGAGATACCGTGGTCTACTGGCAAGTGAAGTACCCTTTTCCCATGTACAACCGAGACGTATCCTTTCTACTTGGTTTTCTTAGCGTTTCTGTGCCCCTTGGCCATCACCCAATGGTGGTATGCCCAGCCTGTGTGGACAGTTGTCCTTGATTCTTGTGGAAGAATTTGCTAAAACTGTTGCTTCTTTTTTTTTTTTTAAGATTATTTATTCATGAGAGACAGAGAGAGAGAGAGAGAAAGAGAGGCAGTGACCCAGGCAGAAGGAGAAGCAGGCTCCATGCAGGGAGCCCAATGTGGGACTCGATCCTGGGTCTCCAGGATCAAGAAGCCTGGTGCTTCTTGTGTGGCTTTTGGAGACCTCAGAGTGTGATGTCTGCACCTGACCATGTGGAGCCTTGTGATTGTGGTCATTGGAGGGCAGCTCAGTTTCCTGAGAAGTTTTCTAAGGCTTGAAATTATTGGGCCATAGGATAGGGAACTTGGAAAGAACTTTTTATAAAGAGTGTTTGATACTTTCCCTCAGTCTAGAATGGAAGTGGGCTCTAAGAGGTAAAATGATGAAGCAGATGATTAGAGGCAGACTGGGGACTGGAATTCAGGCCCCCACTTTCCTCCTCTCCCCATATCCCTTCCCATTTTATTGACCCCATAGTGATCCCTCCTTGACTGTTGTCTGTGAATGTGGGTGCATGTTTCTTCACCTCATTTGCCTCCTTTATCATTAAAGCAGTTGAATGGGATGTGGGGCAGGGGGAGTTAGCTGTGCCTCAAAGGTTCTAAGAAGCCCTGTTAGGACTATCCTAGGAAGGGGCATAGAAATTTGAGGACAGGCAGGATGGGGGCAGGATGATTGACAGGTGAGATTTCCACCTCTTCACTGTCCTCTTCAATCACAGTACCTGAGTGTGTTACACACCGAATTTCCATAGAAGATACTGTCAACCAATGGTCTTGTCAATTTAAAAAAATTTTTTGGGGAACCACTGAATTGAATGGTCACCGGGATCTTTCCTATCTTTAGCATTGTATAAATCTGTATGTTCCTAAATAATTATTCTCTAGAAAATGAAGGACATGTGGCTGTATTTTATGTATATTGTTTGTGTGTGTTTTTGTGTCTATGTGCTTTCTTTGGCCTCAGATAATTGTAAACTCCATAAGGGTTTATTTCTTGCTCACATACTGCTAGGTAGTTTGTACACATATGGTATGTGCTTCAACAAATTGTGGATTACATAATCGCTTAGATTTTATATGGTTTTTCCCGATCCTTCCAGCAGCTGTGCAACGTAAGTACCATCATCCTCATTTCACAGTCAAGGAAACTGAGGCAAAGAGGAGTCCAGAACTTTGTTCTGGTTCACACACTAGTGGCTGGTAGGGGCATTTTCAGGACCCAGGTCCATCTGTTTCCAGAGATGTTGACCTTGACCAGGGCATGATTCCATCTCTCTGACCTCACTGTGACATTGTGGGATAGGTCCTAGGAATAGACACTTGGGGTACTTGAAGTTCTATTTAATTGGTTTTCCAAAACCATGCAATCCCATAATGAGTTCCTTAATCTTTCTATATGCATGTCGCTCCACTAGGGGTTAAATTTTAGAGAACAGAGAATAGTGTAGTGGAAAAGACCATTCATTTGGAGCCAGAGATCCCAGATTGAATGTGAGCTCATACTCTCATTTATTGTGTGTCTTTGGAAAAGTCCCTTCACTTCTCTGGGCCTCAGTGAACTAGTGGTTCTCTGATCATAGGCTCTATGGCACACTGGACCTTCCAACCCTTTGAAGACCTCTGCCAAGTTTTAATCAACGTATCAGGTTGATTTTTCCTCAATGGAATGTCAGGTGATATCTATCACATGAGATGAGCAAGTTTTAGGAGACAGTGGGACAATTTCTGCTGTGAGGAAGAAGTAAAAGGCTTGGGGGAGGAAAGCCGAGCCAAAGCAACATCATTTCTCCACCAAAACATTTAAGAACTTTACTTGTCGTTCCATAGAGCATGGGACAATAGCCCATCCTGCCTGAATGATGTCTGGGACCCTTGTGGGTGCTGCAGAAATTCTGAGGTGGCATGGGGCTATGGTTGTTGCTGTTACAATGAGTATATTACCTTATACTTAGAGATTTTTTTGTTTGTTTAGGCTTTGAATTACTTCAGTGTGAAACCTAAAATTCTGTTGATGCCTGAGCAGCTATGAAAGTCTAATTAGGTTTTGGAGGCAGATCTGGGTTTGCAGTCAGGTTCCAGTTGAGCTATGGGATCTTTGGCAAGTTCCTTTACTTCTGAATCTCAAAATTGTCATCTGTAGGCTGGGGATAATGACACCAAACTCACAGGGACCTTTTCAGGATCAAAAGTGATGCTATATGTAAGGCTCATGGGAAGGGCTTAAAAATTGGTAACTTTCACTGTTTATTAGGATTACATTATCTTCCCTAGAATAGTACCTTAGACATAGTGAGTGTTCTGTGAGTGTTTACAGAGATGAAATGGCTTTGTTATTCTTGGTGGTTAACTAGTGTTAACCCAGAGTGAGGACATCCGGGTACTAAATATTCAGGTATTCATTACTCTTCCTCTGACCACTAGGTATAAGTAACATTGCTTGAAGATCCTACGTGCATAGGCGTCACTAACTAGCGCTTTGGGGGAGGACAGGACAGAGTGGAATGACCCCAGTGTTTATGGAGTACTTATTCTGCCCCAGTCTCTCTCCAGTGCTCTGAGCAAACCTGCCTGCTGGGCAACGTGATTCCCTTTTCCTACAGAGGGAAACCTAGCTTCAGAAAGTTTGAGTAACTAATGCAGAATCACACCGCTGATGAGCGATCCAAGCTCTATCTCATTGTGCCTTCTCAGAGAAGGGAAGAGTCCTTTCTTTGTATAATTGAAAACATCAGGGAATCATTCATAAGTAGGTAATGCGTGCTGTCAAATGAGAATGTCAAGTAGTATCAGGCACAATCTTGGTATGCACCCAGGGAGACAGGACAGGGAAGTGAAGGAACAGTATAAGGGGGCAAATGCCAGGGGGTGAGAAATAGAATCATCTCACATTGCTTCTGGCTTGCGAGGTTTCATTCCACCCATCTGAAATGCTGGCGTTGATATCATGCCTTGACTGGCCGTATAGTACGTGTATATCCGACAGCGGCGAGACCTGGACTTGGACGGGTGGAAGATCCACGTGATCCTGGCCCAGAGCACCTCTGTGCCTCAGATTGCTGAGAGGTCTGGTGTGATCCGGGTGAATCAGTACAAGCAGAGCCTGGCAATCGAGAGTGATGGCAAGAAGGGGAGCAAAGGTAAAGGCAGGGTCCATGATGGCATACTGGGCAAGGCCACTCTGTGAAGGCCATGCTGATTGTGTGGCTTGTAAAATACATGATGCTTATTACCTGAGGTCAGATAATGGGCATGGGTATAAAACAAACAAGAGAGCAAAACCTGAGGAGAGACTCAGTTAACCCCCCAAACCTTACTTGAATGCATGATGGGTATTGAAATCTGACTCAACCCATTCTTGGCTCTTGCATTGTCCAGAGGAAATCAAACCAGAAGGTTTAGAAATCCAGTACAGGCTAGTACTTGAGATACATACATAGGGCCTTGGGCATAGGGGTGGGCAAGAGGGCTGGCAGGACTGACTCTGAGGATGAAGTTCCTGCCTGCCTTGAGTTCCAGCCCGCACAGAGAAAAGCTGTGGCCAGAGTGGTGGCACACAGCCACTTGCTGTACTGGAATCAGTGTGGCCTTAACTTGCATGTGAGGCAAAATCTGAACCATAATTCTGATGCTTTTCATATCTGTCACCTTGGACATGCCACCTAACTGCTCTGAGTCTCCATGTTGTCATTTATAAGTGGGGCTTTAATTTTACCAAATCCTTTGGACTGTTAAGATAATTAATGAAAAATAATTAAATGAGAATTTATATCCAATGTCTAGCACTTGCCGGGCATTGAATAAGTAGTAGCAAAATGTGCCTGTGGCTATGTTTTCATAAATATTTATATATAAACATTTATATTCTGGAAGGGAAGACACAAGAATCCTCTGGAATCCTGTGTTTCCTCCCTCCTTGCTTTCGGCCTGACGAAGGAGGGGCCGGGACGTTTGCAGAGTTTGTAGTTGTTTTTCTAACATTTTTCCTTCTCTTGAATTGTCCTTTCTTTCCCCTCTAGTTTTCATGTATTACTTCGATAACCCGGGTGGCCTAATTCCGTCCTGGCTCATTAACTGGGTCGCCAAGGTGAGATCCCAGGAGGCAGATGGGGGTAGTGTGTTTGACAAATGTTGACTTAGCCCACAGGGCTGTCAGGCTGAGGAGATGCCATGTCTCAGGCCTAATGAGGCTCTTTTATGAAGCAGCTTGGTTGAGTGACTACAGTTAGGACTGAAGTTGCCAACACCCAGGATGTGGGGGCTGGGACAAAAGAAGAATCCTTAGCTGGAATGTCAGACACTGCTTGGTAGTGAGACCCTGACAGGATCAGTCTCTGGATCCTCCAGACAATAGCCTGATCCTTGTAGGAAAAATGGTGCCTTTGAGCCCTGGGTCTGCTTATAGAGTAGGACGGGCCAGCCTGGCTCGAGAGACCACCAGACATGTCCAAGCCTGAAGCCTCTAGTTTTGTTACTGTTGTTTCTCTGTAAGGAGAGAGAACTACAGAGGTTGCCTGATGGTTAGAGACTGTCCTGCCGGAGAACCTGGCTCTATGAGAATCATTCAGTGCTTTGTAGGAGTCCCGTATACTGGTGGGAGGTCTCGGCACATTCCCTGGGAGAGTGCAGGGCACACAGGCTTTGAGTCAAACACATGTGACTTTGAATCCTGGCCTTGCGTCTGTCTGTATATTTTAGGGAAGCCGTTGATTTCTTCCTTTCTCTAAATGAGAGTATTACTGACCCTGTAGAGTAGTGGTAAATAATGCAGTGTCTGGGGAAAGCCTTGCACAGTGCTCAGCACTAAGGAATAACTAGTCTGTTCTTTGCTCCACATCCTCACTGTTTCCTAATTCTGTAAAAGAAGTCCTTTCTCTGATATCTGGGTTAGAATCCCACAACCCAACCCAATCCCATTTCCTGTGTTTTTTCTTTTAAAAAAATAATGTCTCAGAAGCATCTTTGGTTTTTTACTAGCAAAGCCAAGATATACAACAGCATCCACTGCTATCTAGTCTCACCTGTGCCTTCGACCTTTTGACATTGTCTGTGGCCATTTCTGTAGAAATTGGACAGGGGCCCTATTGTCATATTTATAATTCTCAAAACCTTCTTTGTTTACCTCTGCCCTATCCCAAGGAATCAAGAGTAATGTCTATGAGGACATAGAAGTAACAGTTCTCCTTTGCTTTGCAGGGTAGTGTTCCTGTCTTCTTGAATGACATGGCCAATGCCTGTCAGATGTACAAGAGGAGAACCTAAGAATGGGGATTGTATGTTCATGGAATGATTTCTCTGGAAGTGCTAAAGCCACCTGAAGCTCTGCTTTCCTTTTACTTTCCATTTTCAGAGACCTGCAAGCTATCCAGTATTTCCTCCCTGAGTGTGTTTGCCTGACACCGGGCTTCCTGTCCCAGTCTCCCCACCCCGGGACTGGCTGCCTTCTTCCACTGTTGAATATGGGTCAGATTAGGGAAACTCTTGCTTGTTTATTTTTAAAAAGGGAAGTCCTCAGTAGAGAACACAATCATTCCATTGTGCCATTTCAGCGGGATGGGTGGGTGGAGGAACGACAACAATGCAGGAGCAACTGATCCCAGGGAGCTGGCTCCTTCCCAGAATGTGACTTCTTGCAGCTCAGGAGGGACTGCTGGGAGCCCCATCCCCTTCAGAGTGGAGTCTCAGGGCAACAAGACTAGATGATATGGACTGAAGTCCATTTGCCTTATGCTTTAGTGTATTGATTTGGCTGCAGCATGAGGTGATAATGCAGTAAGTCTCTCTCCCATTCCTACTTGTGGAAGATCATGACCTGTTTTGATTTCAAACCATTCTGAAAAACAGTACAGGCCTAAGCACTTAATGTGATAACCACTTTTTTCTCATCATCCAGATTTCTGTTTCCCACATGCCCCAGGGGAGAGGCTGTGCATACCTTGCTTATTCTGCATTTTATTGGAAACTGAGGCATCACGATGGCTCTGGAAGTTAGCAAAAGGCAAGATGCTCTGCACACAGTACTGTGATAAAGTGTCTTTCTAGGCAATAAAATGAATTACCTTCTAGAATGTTTAGAGATATTGAACAGATATAGTTCACAGCCAAGGAAATATTAATTAGTGGATTGATCGACTCTCCACCTTTTCCTCAGGAATACAACCTAAGTTGCCTGCCTCTTCAACCACCAAAAGACTTCCAATTTCTTGTTTTCTCCTGAATTTTGGTAAGCCAGGATGTTCCGTGGCTAAAGGCACAGCCTTCATGATCTCAGGGAAACATTTTAACCACAGTGTTATGGTACTGAACCTTGATTAGAGGTCATAGAAATTCAGGATGTGAAAACAGAAGCAGAGGATTTATTAAAATGGGAGATCTCAGACTGTATGTTTGCTCTCTGGGAAAATAGATTGATACCAATAAATACCGAGTGACTTACATTTGTCTTGTTTGCAGTTTTCTTCCTACCATGTTCCTTTTGTGAGGTTGAATCAGGTGTCAACATTTGCAAGGCACATCCAACCTGACTAATGACCTAGAGTATAAAAAAGGATTTTAGGTGCATTTATATGCAAGACCAGGTATAGAGTGGCCTCACGTTAGGGTTGATACATGTGCTCAAACTGACATTAGAATTTGAGTATATTCTTTTTCAGGTTATCTTTGATGCTGGGCTGTGTCTGGTGACGGGATTACGGCTGACAGCAAAAGGTAGACCTATACCTTTCCAGACTCATGCTGAGTCAAATAAGACAGCATTTCTTTCCAGTAGATCCTATAACCATCCTATGACTTTCTCTCAATGATGTGTCAGTCCCTTCCTCAGTCATTGTGGTCCTTTGGATAGACTTAGGCAAATAAGTGAATGCCTCATAAATTTACCATTAAAATATCATTATTTGTAATATAGCTGGCATTTAATTTTAGATAAATGAAATCTAAATGTGTCTTGTAATAGAAGATCAAGTTGAAAATTTATGTATAGAGTCACTGAAACACAAGCACTACAATTATAGTTTTTGAGTAGAGAATCAAATTCAGTTGGTGTCATGCAACCCATATCTTTCAACAGCCTTTGATAATTTGCTAAGAACTCTGAAATCACTACTTTTGCAGAGTTTCTAGGCAAAATAGTTACAGAAAAAGTCAGAAAGTTTGCAATAATTAGTAGAGTTTTGACTCTTTGGCATTTCTGTGTGCTAATTTGGAGAAGACAGTCTACACAGCATTAAAATACAAGGTTATGTGGGAAACAAAACCCGTGAGCCAATTGGTAAATGTCAGAGGTGCAGAATATGTAGAACTGGTGCTTTAGAGGGTGCACCTGATGCCTCAGTGTATGCCTCTCCACAAGGGCTAGGGGTGTCATTTGGAATTTGATAGTTGTAAACATCCTTCCTGTAGCACTTTGGTTAACACTTATTTTTTTCCATTTCTGTCTCTTCACATACTAAGATCTCTGGGGATTGGAAGAGTTATTTCCCTTTGATTACTGGGGGACTATATAGTAGGTACTCAAAGGAATGTACTCAATAGTAGGTACTCAATAATTTAGAGAAGATGGGCCAAATGACACCAGAAGGTAAAACCCATCCTGGTATGGAGGTTTAATTTGATTCCATTAAATGATAACTAGTACTATTTAGTAATTTAATTCAGGCCAAATTATTTCCCAAATCGTCATTTTTTGGGGGAAGAAGGGTTCTAGATTTGCCTGGTTCTCATTAGTCCTCTGTTTGTTAAGGGATGGCATATCTGGTGTATTTCTGGGTTATGTTTTAATGTTATAGAAATGGCATAGTTTGGACTGAGTTCAGTTGAGATTAGTCAGGATTTCAATATTTTATTTTATTTTTTAGTATTCTTCCTCCCCCCACCCCCCAGAGAAGGCATGTGAGCAGGAGGGAGGGGCAAAGGGAGGAGAGAGAGAATCTTAAGTAGGCTCCACGCCCAGTGCAGAGCCTGATACAGGGCTCCATCTTAGGACCCTGAGATTATGACCTGAGCCAAAATCAATAGTTGAGCACTTAACCAACTGAGCTACCTAGGCGCCCCAGGATTTCAGGATTTTAATGAAAAAAGTAGCACTACTATTGGAGTTACATTTTTTCCACAGGTGAGTTATTCACACTGCATAACAATGAAAAGTTATTGACCATATTGGAATTGAAGGATTCCAGCAAAGAGTTGCTTCCCTTGAAAATGTTCCTATTTCACACTAAGAGTCCTGGCCTACCACTGGCACCCTGGCTGAAATTCCTCACCCAGAGTCCCCATCTACAATGCTGCCCTTCAAACCTCTTGCTTCCCATATGGATCTGGAAGAGACAAAACCAAAAGAACCCATTCAGTTCTCATGTTTCTGGTAGCATCAACCAGTCAGCTGAGGGAATTATCCTTAAAAGCTTTGAGACATGCATTCACTAATGGATATATCTTGGGTCTGTTGTCCACCTGGCAAGGGGACAGACCGCAATGAATGATATTCCTGCAATGAATGACATAGATTTAGTGTCAGCTTATGGTCTAGTGAAGAAGCAGCGGGCAGGCTGTTGAAAGACTGAGTTTTGACAAAGGGCAAGAAAAGGGTGCCAGATATAAAAATGGGGGCACTAACCAAGTTTGAGGGGTCAGGGAAGCACATGTTGTAGTTGGCTGCGAGAAGGTTGGAGAAGAAAACTGTTCTGCATGGAAGGAACCATTTGCATTAAGCTCCTCCAGCAGGAGAACCAGTCACCTGTGAGGAACTACCAAAGCCAGTATGGCTGAAGCAATGGGCTGGAAGGAGAAACATCTCACATGTGGCTGAAGAAGTAGGCAGTCAGGCCACGGGGGATTGTGAGAGCTATGATTTTAGACTTTATACTCAGATCACCAATAAGCTTTGTAGGATATTAGGCTGACCTAAAATCAGCAGTGACTTGATGAGTTTATTCCTTCTCACCAGCTGCTCATTTTCCCCTCATGGTTCTTCCTTCACCATCTCTAACAGTCCCTCCAACACCATGATGGGTTCTCTCCATGGTGAATGAAGAGTACCTCCACGGGGTCCAGCCTTGTCAGTTGGAATCCTCTTCACCATTAGGTAACTGGCAGAGTAGCCCACACTCCAATCTAGTTTCCAAATGGAGCATCAACCTTTGAAGTCTAAACAGAAAAAAAGCAAGGAATATGCATGCACATCGCCTGCTGGTGTACAACATACCCTCCAATGGGCTGCGTCATGCAGCCCACAGGAGCAGAACCATTTCAGGATCCAGAAGTGGGAGAGAAAAAGGAAAGGCCCAAAAAATGTAAGCAGGTCTGCTTTCCCAAAGTTGCTTTTTCCACATTCTTCCCCAACTACAAAGAAACTTATTTTTGTTTTGAGAAGACGGAAATATTGTTTAGGTTCTTAGAATTTAGAACTAACAAGAACGAAGGGCTTCAGAAAAATTATTTATATTGCATATTTTCGTAGGTGTCAGCATGGATACACATTGTATGTAGTCCATTTCATGGGATATAATGACGGAACAACTAAGTGGCATTAACAGAAGTCAGGTTCAGTGCTAGGCAGCAGAGTTCACAAAGGTAGAACAGTTGCTTCCACTAGGGAATTAGTCCAGAGAGGGCATCTCATACTCTCATACATGCACAGTTCACGGTAAGTGGACGATGTGATCACCAGTGTAGGAAAGGAAAATCTGTAGTATTTCAGGAGCTTTTTGGCAAATCGCTGTTAAAACAAAACATCCCAATGGAATTGCTAATGCTCAACCCCACTCACAAAAAAAAAAAAAAAAAAAAAAAAAAAAAAAATTGACTTAATCACACACTTCTGGGAAATGAACTTAAACCTCTCCAGCCAGGAATCACCCGATCAGCACATGATACCTCACTTGCCTGATAAACGCCTGCCATCCCTAAAGCAGAGTGACCTTGCAATAACCAACCCGGTTTGTTGTCCAGTCACTGCCAATGTCTTTGATATTGCACAGCTCCTCAGAGCTCCCTTCTACCTGTTGGATTGGATGCTGCCCAAGTTGAATCGAGTTTTGTTCAAGCGAGTTCTCAAATGCTTTAATATGCCTCAGTGTATCTCGTGAGAGTCTAGGTGTCCCAAGAGGAAAGGAAGGGAGAGCCTCCGCAGCCGCCAGGGGCAGGGGGCCACCAGGGCACCGACCTGGGGTGCACAGTCCTGGGGCGCCCCCTGAGCCCGCAGCTTTCCTGCTGCCTCTGGGTTGAGAGTCGCGCTGGGATCCTGGCTCTGCAGCTTCGTGGGAGGCGCTTTCAGACTCGACTCGAGCATTTCTCTGTCCAGATGGAGTCCAGATGCCGGCCGGAGTCAGCCTGGGCCTGACCTAGAAACTAGCAGGGACGGCAGGGAGGTCGGGCCGAGAAGGCGGCCGGCGTAGGGGCGGAGCGGGCGAGCGCTGGCCTCTGTCCCTCTTGGAACAGGAACGGTTCTGGGTCCGCCTCGGAAACCAGCCGGGGCTGGAGCCTGGGGTCTGGCCTAGAAGCCCGACCAGGTGCTGGTGGGGCGACCGGGTGCAGTTTACTAACCGAGGACGGACAAGACCGGGGCCAGGGTGAGGCCTGCGGTGAGTACGATGTGCGAGGCCGACCAAGCAGGCTGCCTTCCCACAGGCCAGGCTGAGCTGCTGCGGCCTCCCCGGAGAGCTCGTCACCCTCCGAAGCTCATCCACTTACCCGGAGCCCTGGGCCAAGCACTCACCATAAAGGGTCGAGGGAAACGACTTTTCCTCCATGTAAGACTCCTGGTGGGCAGCATGAGACCCGCTGGGACACCCCACTCACCCCAGAGCCTGCCGATGGCTCCTGCGAGAACTAGCACAAGCCTCTGGAAGCTAACAATTCTTACCAAAGGTAGGGCTCCCATTTTCCTGTGTGTGTGTGGTGCCTGGGTGAGAGAAAAGGTCAGGATTTCATGTTACCCCACTTTTCTAGATTCAGATGAGTAGGCAAAGAAAATGTTTGTAAGGATAGGGTCTTTGAATTGGGACTGGTGAAGGTGCCCTTGGGTGCTCCTGGGTGGTCGATCCCTTCCCCTCCCAGGGATGGCTTTGGCCTTCTTGGTTGTCTCATTCTGTGTCCTGAGAACGTGGCTTGGCAGCAGCTGGGTTGGCTCCTACAATATCGCTGCGCAGAAACAGGTGGTTCTCCGTTTCTGCCTGGCATCCTAGCCACTGTTTCCAAGTCAGGGAAGTTGCAAATGTCTTTCTTTTGGGAGTGGATCTTGGGGAGTGGGGTAGTATCTTTGCCTCTTGTCCCTATGGGGTTGCTCATTACTGCTGGGAATATTTACTGCCGGGATCCCTGGGTGGCGCAGCGGTTTGGCGCCTGCCTTTGGCCCGGGACCCGATCCTGGAGACCCGGGATCGAATCCCACGTCGGGCTCCCGGTGCATGGAGCCTGCTTCTCCCTCTGCCTGTGTCTCTGCCTCTCTCTCTCTGTGTGACTATCATAAAAAAAAAAAAAAAATTTACTGCCTGTCTGAGGCTGAAACTTGACAAGATACTCAAAAGGATTTCTTTTTTCTTTTTTTTTTTCCTTTTCTTTTTCTTAAGGAGAAGCAGGCTCCCTACTGGGAGCCTGTTGTGGGACTTGATCCTGGGTCTCCAGGATCACGCCCTGAGCCCAAGGCAGGTGCTAAACTGCTGAGCCACCCAGGGATCCCAAAAGGATTTCTTTTTTACTTATCTTCTTTCTTAAGAAGTTCTATGGTCAGACCTTGGCCAAAGTGGAAGCTGATATTCAGCGCCTGACAGGAAATTTGTCCTAGGCTTTCTCCCTAAGCTAAATGATACTATGGACCCAAAAAAGAGAGACAAACATTCTGGAACTTTTGTGGAAGGATTTACTAAAACATTCCAAAGACACACAGCTCTGAATCTAGAACAGGGGAATATTTTGACTTTCACCTTAGTGAAGGTCCTTTCCCTGCTATGAAGATGCAAACAGGATAAGGTAGTTGGATGGGAGGTATGGTCTCCATATCTTTTGGGGTTGCAGCTCAATTCTTTGAGGAATTAGAAGCAGTTGTGCATACCTTATAAATCGAATCTTTAAAAGAACAGAAATGTGGTCTGAAAACTATTCAAAGTCCTTTCATGTGGTTTATCAGTCCCCAAACCTCCTCTATTCATCTGGAAGGCTTGCAGAGGGTATCTAAGATCTGGACTGAGGGAACAGGAGTTCTTCTCCATGGAGCTTGGATTTGTCTCTGTGCCTATTGTGATGTAAGTATTTTAGGTAGCCTTTCCCAGGACCCAAGGTAATTCTTAAAAGGAGAGGAAAAAAGAAAAGGATATTTTGCACACTGGGTCTATGAAAAATCTTTATTTTATTTTTTTTAAATTTATTTATTTATGATAGTCACAGAGAGAGAGAGAGAGAGAGAGAGGCAGAGACATAGGCAGAGGGAGAAGCAGGCTCCATGCACCGGGAGCCCGATATGGGATTCGATCCCGGGTCTCCAGGATCGCGCCCTGAGCCAAAGGCAGGCGCCAAACCGCTGCGCCACCCAGGGATCCCTATGAAAAATCTTTAAAGTCTCTTTCACAAACCTTAAAAGGTATCTGAGTAGGTAAATTTATTCCATCTACCAGTAAACACATTGGATCCTGGGACTCCAGGTTCATGACTGAGCAGAGAGCACAACCATCGGAGCCACCCAGGCCACCCCTCATGACTAAAATTTTTAAATGAAAGCTGTGAGATCTGTTCAAACTGTTTGTATATTTAGGTATAGTAATATATGTATGCTCTAGATGCATTGCGTTTTTTTTCCCCTACCTTTGACTGGTATTGCCAAATTTAGTTTTCTTGAAATTTTTATTTAAATTCCTACTAATATGCAGTGAAATATTAGTTTCAGGTATACGGTACAGTGATCCAACACTTCCACAGGACACCCAGTGCTCATCACAACCAGTGTGCTCCTCCATCCCCATCACCTAGTTCCCCATCACCCCACATCCCTCCTCATCTGGTAACCATTAGTTTGTCCTCTATAGCTGAGTCTGTTTTTTAGCTTGCCTCTCTTTTTCTTCCCTCTGCTCAATTTGTTCTTAAATTCCACAGATGAGTGAAATACTTATCTTTCTATGATTTATTTTGCTTAGCATGATACTCTGTAGCCCTATCCATGTCATTGCAAATGGGAAAATTTCATTCTTTTTTATGGCTGAGTAGTATTCCATTTAAAATATAGACATCACATCTTCTTTATCCATTCATTAGTCGGGGACACTTGGGCTATTTCCATAATTTGGTGATTGTAGATAACAGTGCTACAAACATCAGGGTGCATGTATCCCTTTGGGTAATTACCTAGTAGTGTAATTGCTGGATTGCAGGGTGGTTGTATTTTTAACTTGACAAGTTAATTGATGAAGTGTTCTATATATTGGCTAAAAGACAAATAAGCATTATATAAATAATACTCTGAGAAAAACAGAAACTAACCCATATATTTGGCAAGTTCACATGATCTAGGATAGTCCTCAGTAAATAAAAGCTAATTTAGGTTTATTGGTTTAATTGAAACAGGGAGATCTTGAGAGTTCCCAGTATTAAATATAATACTTTTATTCTTCCTCAGTTTACTAAAAGTCAAATAAGCCTATGTTACATTCACATCAAATTCTGTGACAGAATTTGTCAGAAGGCAATTTTAGATGGCCAGCTATTTATGTCTCTAGAAGTTTTCTGAGTAATCTAAATATAATGGTTATGGCCAAGTAAATTAAGTAGATTTATGTAAGACAAAAGTTTATAAATGAGCTTTTCCGCAATAACTGTATTTTATGATAGGTCTACTTTAAAGTAGTCTCTCAAATGTTCTTGGGACATCTCAGCCTATATAATCCTGTGAGCCAGTTTCTTATGGTAAATCTTGAATTTGGACAGAAATTAGGAAGGATTGTCTTCACAGACAGACGGGATATTCTGAGGCAAAGCACATGCTGGAGAGAGAAACAGATAGATGGGGCAATTGGGGGTAATAACCAAGAATAGCCAGCATTTGTCGGCCACTTATGAAATGTCAGGCACAAGCTTAGCATTTTGCACACATCAGGTCATCTCCTCGTTGTTCATGTATGAAGACTGAGAGAGCATGGAACCTTGTCTTGTTCCTAACTATATTCTCCATATATAGAACACAAAAACTATTAAAACTATCTGCTGAAGGAACAGATAACTCCATGGTGGAGCGACAATCCTAAAGCCCCATGATCTCAGTTTGAGCGCTATGTCAGAAAGATGGGCACCAAAGAAGGGTACGCTCAATCCTGTGTTCCACCTGATTCTCACCGAAGAGTGGACTTTGGGAACAAATGAAGTTTTAGAAATGTTTTAAAGCTATAATTATTTGTCTTTCAGGATTTTTTGGTTTTTCCTTTGTACTTAGAATTAAAAAAAAAAATTCCTTTTTTGCTATGCATTTTGATTCGACTCTCTTGAAGACTTATACCGACTATCTGAAAACCCAGACGGGAAAGGTCTTATTGATTTAACTGGGGGAGGGGAGAGAGGCAGCAGGCAAAGGAGAAGGAGAAGAGAAGAGCTTTTCATTTGCAGGCCAGAATCCCGAAGGTTCAGAAAACCTGTATTCCCCCAGGGACAGGTAGGGAGGTCGGTGGGGGAGAGGGCAGCACACCAAGTCCATTTTCTCCTATCTATCTTACCTGATTTGTCTCTAGTGGTTCATAAACCGAGAAAAAGCCAGTGGACACCAAGCAGGACAAAAAGGGTACTTAGAGCTCAGGGAGGACATACAGCAAGTTTTGTTTTATGTCAAACAGCTAACGAGGGGCTGGATCTGTTTTTACGTGGTCATGGATTCTGCTTACCAGTGAATGTGGTGTTTCATTTTCCACGGGAGAGAGAGTAATAGTCCTCATCAGGAGCCTGCCCTTCAGGCCTGGTACTGAATAATTCCTGGACTGCTGGAAGCTTCCAAGTAGAAGCTCACCCTCCACTCTACCGCTTGGCTCCTGTTCCCATTCCAGCTACTTTAAGCTCTTGTAAACAGCCTTTGTTTTCCATTACAAGCTGGGAAATGTGACCATGTGGCAGTGGTGCCGGGTCCCTGGAGAGGGCCTGCCAGGGAGGCCGTTTCCTCACATCTCCTTTCAGCTTGTAACTTGCTGTCGAGGTTGGCTAATCACTGAAGCTCCATGTCTTCCCATCCTATTCTGTTCCCCTAATTTACAGAACAGCCAGAGACCCGCTTGAGGACTAGCGGATCGACCAGATGTTTCCTGAGCACAGACAGTGTCCATTTCCCCTTGCACATCATCTTGTGAGAGGGGAGGGCCGGCAGGGCGCTCACCCCTGCTGACATCATTGGGCGAGGTGGCCTGGGGGAGAATTTCAAAGCAGGGCAGCTTGGCCAGGGAAGAGCTCAGCTGGTGGCCCTGGGCTGGGATTAACTGACCCAGATGCCTAGGGAGAAGGAGTTAGCAATTTAAGTGTGTTGGTTCTCTGGGAGGAAGTAGCCCCTCCATTCCCTGCACATCCCTGGGCTATGGATGAACTTTCCTGGTGGCTCCACATACACAGTCAGGATTACCTTCACTTCCATCCAAATCCCTGTGGTTCCCTGACTTTTGCTTGAGGTTGTGATGAGACAAGCTCATTTGATTGCAGTGAATGATGACAAAATCATAATAAATGATAATGATAGTAATAATAAATTAGTGAGCCTTCTTCCCCAAATGCAACATAGGGGACCCACATGCTAACAGATCTATCATTTTGCATCACTTCCTTATAGATCACTAGCTTGTCAGATTCAGGGTGGTAGGAACCAATCAAACTTTTTAATATAGAGAACAACTGACATGGATTTAATTGCCAGCTTCCCCTTAGGAAGGTCATTAAAAGTAGATCAAACCAAGTAAGTGAATAGACTGTGCCATTTACTATCATTCCAGTTTCATAAAAGAAAGGTTAGTTTAGCCTCTTCTGCTCAAATCCTTCCAAGGAATTGTCTTCACTGCTCCTAATCAAATCCAAACAACCAAGACCTGAACAGTTCCAAGTGACCCAGGATCGGGCTCCTGCCTACTTTTCAAGCTCCACTTCCTTTTCCTGATTTCATTCCAGCCCCATTTCTGTACCTCAAAATTGCTATGGTCTTTGCATTTCTATTCCCAACATCTGGAATGCTGTCCCCCCAGATTTATATACAGTGCTCTCCCAATGGTAGGCAGCTTTCTGACATGGCTCTCAGTGGCCCCCAACTCCTGATAGTAACACCTTTATATAGTCCTCCCCCCTCCCCATATGTGAGCTGGACCTAATGACTAGCTTCTAAAGAATGGACTAGAATAGAAGAGGCTTTCTCTGAAGAGTAACAGCAGTGATGGGATGTCATATAGACATTAGGTTATAAAAGACTGTGACCTCATCCTTACTTAATTCTCTCTGGCGCTCCTGGCGTACTTGTTCCAATGAAGCAAGTTGCCATGTGTGAGCTGGCCTATGGTGAGACTGGTGTGACAAAGAACTGAAGGTGGACTCTTGGCCAACAGCCAGTCTGAACTGAGATAGTCATTCCAACAACCGAGGAGAAACTGAGTCCTGCCAACAACCATCTGAGTGAGACTGGAAGCCGATCCTTCCCTGTTGGGCTTTGCAATGACTGCAGTCCCAGAGGACATCCTGTTTGCAGCCTGGCAGGAGATGCGAGCCAGGGACACTGGAACCAGCTGAACCCATGCACCGGTGCAGGCATCTGAAACATCAAGATAGCAAAGGTTTCATTTTAAGGCAGTTAGTTCTGGGGTAATTTGTTACATGCAACAGATAACTAATGCACTGCTTCACTTTATGTAGGCCTCTGCTCAAATGTCTCCTTAAAGTAGTCTCTCAGATGCAAAACAAAACAAGTGAAACAATATTAATCACACTTAATTCTTTGTCCCCTCATGCATTTGTATGTTTATTCATGGAAGTTATGACCACTTAACATTTATATTATGTATTTATTTGTTGACTTTTCTGGTAGAATGAAAATTCAGACAATACCCGCCTTGTTCCTGTTTGAAGAAGATGGACATGTATTTGTCTTGAAAGTGCTTACATTTATTCAACAAATATTTATTGTAGGCGACTATTTGCCAGGCCTAGTGATTATAGGTTATTTATTCCTGTTCTCTGGAATCGGGGCCAGTTAATTTTAGTCTCTTGGCTAACCATTTTTTTCAGCTAAGTTGCTCTGTTTTCATAAGGCATTTTTCTATGCCTTTAAGCATGTGAGAAAGATGCAATATATGACGGAGTCAAGATGAGAGCAGTGTGTGCTTTATTGAAGTCATTGTTGGATTAACATACTTTTTTGAGAAGTTCTTATTTCACAATCTGCTGAAGTCCAACTTCCTGGTAGTTTCATCTACTGGCCTTAGCTTTCCTCCTGGAAATAATGAAGAACTTATCTAGTCTTTCTCCATAAGCCAGTTCTAATTTCCCCCATTAACTCTGTTCTTGAGGTGTAAGTTTTATTTTTCATTTTATTTTATTTTTTTAAGATTTTATTTATTTATTCAAGAGAGACACAGAGAGAGAGGCAGAGACATAGACAGAGGGAGAGGCAGACTCCTCTCAGGGAGCTGGATGGGGGAGTCGATCCCCAGACCCAGGATCATGCCTTGAGCCAAAGGTTGACTTTCAACCACTGAGCCATCCAGGCATCCCATCAGGTGTAAGTTTTATTTTATGAATTTATTGCCCCCTTTTATGCTCTAAACTTTTCATGGATATTTAGTGTTTCTTTATTTTATGTTCCTCTTTGTAGTTGAGATTGCAAATTCAGCTTTCTGCTTGCTGGAGAGGCAGTGCGTGATCCGTAACTATTGGCCCTCTCTCTATCCAGTTTCCAATGAGAGTGGTAAGACCTGTGATGACATCACATGGTCTCCTGCAGCAGCAGTACCTGGGAGCTATGTTGTGTGTCTGTCTCAAGCTCCCACCATTGAATCTGGAGGCAGATTCCTCCGTTTCTGGGGTGTGTGTGTATAGAGGGTGGTGGGGAGTAGATGGTGGTTAATCCTCCTGGCTGCTCTCCTGTTGTCATAGGAAATATCAGAGGCAGATTACCTCTGAATGTGGGACATCCTTTTGTGTCCCTATCCTTGACATGCCTTCTTCCTGTGAGTCCTGATCTCCAGCTTTCTTTGCATTTTATCTCTTCTGTTTTCTCTTTGCTTTTGGACCATGAAACAATAATCCGTATGTTTGAATCCTTATGTTTTAATTCTGATGTTTTTATTTCTGCATGTATATTTTATGTATTTAAAAAGATAGGGGATCCCTGGGTGGCTCAGCGGTTTACCACCTGCCTTCGGTCCAAGGTGTGATCATGGAGTCCCCAGATCGAGTCCCACATTTGGCTCCCTGCATGGAGCCTGCTTCTCCCTCTGCCTGTTTTTCAGCCTCTCTCTCTCTCTCTCTCTTTCTCTCCCTCTCTCTCTCTGTGTGTGTGTGTATGTGTGTGTGTGTCTCTTGCGAATAAATGGGTGAAATCTTAAATAAAATAAAATATAAACTATAACTATGTATATTTTATACCCATAAATGTGTGAATATATGTAGTCAGTCAGCTTAGCTGCCAGCTGAGACCATTAGCTCTACTTCCTTTTTGTTGGCTCTGCTTGAAGATCATGATCATATACTCCCTTATTCTGTCCTCCTTAGTCTAAACATCCCAAGTTCTTTTTTCCCTCAGCTTTTTGGGGAAACAATGGATATACATCACCATACAAGTTTAAGGTATACAGTGTGATGGCTCGATTTACATAGACTTCCAAATGACCACCACGACAGGCTCAGCCAACATCCATCATCTACGTAGGCACAATAGAAAGAAAAGAAAAGCATTTGTCCTTGGGATGGGAACTCCCAGGATCCACTCCTTTAACAACCCGCTATATGACATTACAGCGGTGTTAACTATGGATACCATGCTGTACTTTATATCCCCGATTCCTTTACTGATTCCATAATAATTTTCTGACCCCCTTCTCACCAAAACCACCGCCTCTATTCCTGTAGACCTGTTGATTGAATGCACTCCTGTGGCTCCCAGTGTTGAGTAGAATATTCGGAGTAAAGTGGAACTATTACTTCTTGTATTCTGTGCTTCCTCCCATGCCATCTAAGTCTGGGAGACCTTTTTCTCTTGTACCACATATTTACACTATTGGCTCATAATAATCAGTTCCCTTTCCACCCTCCTTTCAAATTGTAATATATCAACTGTATCAAGCAGCAGTTGCCCCAGCCTCTACTTGTGTAATTGATCCTCCGCCAAAATGAAAGGCTTCACACTTCTCTCTCATGAGTTTTACCATGTTAGTTTTAAGCTCCACATCCTGTTGCAGTGTGTGTTGGGAGACACAGAAAACTAGCTTCAATTTATTCTCACCTTTACCAAATGATACTCCTTTGATATATTGAAGCCCAGTGAATAGTGACTCCTTCCATCTATAGAACATTTTCTCCTCCATTATTCATTTATCTTAGAGCATGCTAAACTAGCTTCTTTAACTGAAGCCCGTTTTTACTCACTGGGATTATGATATCCCTTTATTCAGTAAAGATTTATCTAGGGCCAGCTCTGTGCCAAGAGCTAAGCTTTGTTATTCTGAGTTCAGTGAAGAAACATGGTTCTTGACCATGGTTTTATAATCATTTGTAGACTTATTATTATAATTGCCAGTGATTATATAGCCAGACTTTGACTTCTTTAAAAAAACGAATCTTGATAAAGCAAAAATGGTGTAGTGTTATTTGCAGAATCTAGGTGGTGGTCTGATGAGTGTTCACTTAGAACTTTTCTGTATGTTTGAAAATTTTCATGATAAATTGTTGAAGGAAAACTTGCCTATCCTTCACAAGCTCTATTTCTTTTATTGTCTTCAGCCATGGAATTGTACACAGCCCTTGTTAAAATTCTTTACATTGCTTTACTTTTTACATAATTCAGGACACCACAGCCCTTTCCCCCCAGGGCTCTTGGGAGAAGTTATCATGTAATGGAAAGAACACTTGCATTGTTGATGGACTAGGTAGGACTCAAACCGAATGCAGCACCTATTGACTTTGGGCCCCCAGCAAGTCTCTTAATGTCTCTGAGCCTTGATTTTTCTCATCCCTAAAATGGAGTTAATCATGTTCACACCCCCCTTGCTGTTGTGAAAACGAACTAAAATTATGTCCATAAACACTCAGCATATTTAAGATGCATCCTGCCCCATTTCTACCACGTCTTTCACTTATCTACCTTGCACATTACCATAATTTCCTTCCTTACAATCTGAATTAAGTAGTTCATACACATCCATGCTTTTTTTCTTCCTTTGCCCTTTGGAAAATAAAATTTCTCATAACTCAAATCCATAATGCACTACTGGATGCTTTGGGTTAGCAAATATGGGATCAGAAGATTTGAATGTATGCATCACCTTCACTTTCCTTCTTGTTCAGGTGTGGGATTGATGTTAAGGAAGTGCCATTCATATCCTGACCAGGTGGCCTGAAATTGCTGCTGTTTTGTAAATGCTTTGTTGTCAATTCCTGTCTTGACTTAGTATGTTTATGTTACTGTCTGTGTGTCCTGATTGCTCTGTCTGCAGTATCTTCCCATTCAAACCTGTGAAAACCCTATACTTCCTTTAAGAACAAGTTCAGTACTGTGTCCTTTACTCTTGTTGTTTCTACTGTATCATGTCATTTCTCAAACTATCTTAAAGAGCTTACTATTAATGGTTATGTAGCCAGAGAAACACAGCTCTTCCATCTTTCAGTTCCCTGCCTGTAAGACTGGGTGCACTCTTCAGGCGCATGTGAGAGATCATTCATGGGTGCCTACGTGGATGAATGACTAGAATTCATCATCCCTGGGTCTCAGTTTATTTCTATGCAATAAGAGAGATAGCCAGGTCACTTCAGAAGCCTGTTTGAGCCCTGAAATCCTATGATTCTTTGTCTTCATACGGTATACTTTCTTATTTCAGGTATTTGTCTTAATGCCAGTGCTTTCTGTATAGTCAGAAGCTTCTTAATTTTTAAGCACCTAGGATTTGGAGTCTTATACATCCCCTCTCTATGACACTTTACCCTTAATTGCACCAAGGGTATGCTGAATTGATATATCTAACCAGTCCCTGATTATCTCCCACCCCAAATAAATAAACATTCATTTCCCCATCCCTTTCACCCTACCATCCCCTGCATCTCCCAGATTACCTATACTTAGAATATTTCTTCAGTCCTGTGATGTCGCTTTGAAGAAGGTTGATTAGATTCATGTCTTCTGGAGGAGTCTGCCTGGTTTCTGGGTAAGTACTGAGATTATGCTGGTTCTTTTGAGTCTCAGATCCTGTATCCTCTAGCAGCTGCCGAGTTACTTGCTTTTGAAGATATTTAAATTCTAAATTCAAAAATATTGTTTGTCCTCACTGAGTATTCTGGAGAGTGAGGAGCACTCCCAGAAGGCAAGGAGGCATGTCAGGTGTGTGTGAGACTGCATCTCATATATATTCCTCTCTTCTCACCCTTTAAGTGCCATCTTGCGGAACATAGCTCATGTTCTCACTTCTCTGCCCTCTCTACTGGACACACTCTTCAGATCCTCTCCACCCTTTCTGACTGGTGAGTTTAGTCATCCTCCAGATATCAGTTGACAATACTACTTCCTGCAGAAGGAGTTTCTTGAATCACCTATCATAACATTTGTTGCACTGTCTGGTGATTGTCTGATTATTTGTGTGATTTCTTAACTACATTTCATGGGAGGAGATACCGTCTTTCTTGTTCATTGTATTCCTAGAGCTTAGCACAGTGTTTGACACACAATAGTTTCTCATTGTGTATGCATTATGTGAACCAATGGACATAGTGGTCTCAGTTCTTATTGGAGTTGACATAGATGCACACAATTAGCACACAATGTCTCTTGTTGTATATTAATAAAATATGCAGTGTATAGTATATTAATGCCTCTTATTTTGCAACTCCTAGAGATTCCTGTGGGCATAATATTGTTTTTCTCATTGTGCAGAAAGGGAAATTTAGGCTTAGAAGTTATATGATTTCCCAAGATTACACTACCACTAGAAAGTAGCATAATTGATTTAAACCTCTGCTATCAAATTAAGTATACTATCCTTAATGCTGCAAAGTGTGCAGCAAATGTCACAAATTTGGTACAAAATCCTACTGCATTGCAGAAATGGTAGAATTAACTCCTAGATAAGTTGATACTTGAGCTTAGATTTGAAAGACAACTAATTTTTTTAAAAAAATATGTTATTATCAAAACCAAACCAAGGAATAACCCTTATGCATTTTAAAGATTTTTTTAAATTTATTTATTCATGAGAGACAGAGAGAGAGAGAGAGAGAGAGAGAGGCAGAGACACAGGCAGAGGGAGAAGCAAGCTCCATGCAGGGAGCCCCATGCGGGACTCAATCCCGGGTCTCCAGGACCACGCCCTGGGTTGAAGGCAGGTGTTCACTGAGCCACCCAGGGATCCCCACATTTTAATTAATTCAACTAATATAGATATATTTAACGTAAGAAGCAAAAATTCACCCTTTCTTACTCTAATTAACATTCCCAAGACGTAACCATCATAAACCATATCACTCTGTGTGTGTGTGTGTATATATATATATATATATATAAAATGGTGGTTTTATTTGTTTGAAAGCAATCACACTGTAAACAGTAAACACTGTTATTCATACTCCTTTCTTTTTTTTTTTAACTTCAGTACAACTTGGGCAACCTGGTATCCAGTACATTTATATTCACTTCCTGCATTTGTAACTGCTGCATTTCATTCTTTTGTAGGAATGTTTCATAGTTTTTTTTAACCAATCTTCTTCTATTGGCACTTACTTAGATGACTTTCCATATCCTCCCCTGTAAACAGTTCTGCAATAATCTTTCTTGAGTCCTCATTAAAGATTTTCTGTCCATCAATTGCTTAAAATGGGATCTCTTGTGTCATAGGTTATCTGCAGTTTAAATTGTGAGAGAAACTGACAGCAATGCATAGAATGTGTAAAAGCTAGATTTGGAGGGCAAAAAACATTCAAGGTGGGGAAAGTCACACAAATAAAGGTACCAAAAGACATAAGTCACATTTCTTTATTGTTCTGGAGATGTTTCAGCATTTTGACCCATTGTCTGAGCTCTGATGACAAATTCTAGCTCCTGCCAAGAGACCAGAAGCTATTTGTCAGTATGTCTCTTTATCCTCCCTCCTGTCCCTTTAATGATAAAGTCCCTCGAGGTTAAACACTCTCATTATTAATCTTACCACAAGAATCCCTGAAAACCAATGTTTGCTGCCCTTTGGTTCTTTACTTTAATGACTCCTCACCACACACAGACCCCTTATTGTGCTATTCACAACTTTCCAGATGAAACCAAAGGCTTGGATTCAGCTGTAGTCAAAACGAATTCTCTACAATTCCACACACATACATGCACTAAACCTCCTCTTTCCACCAGTGACTAAAACTTCAAATTGAATGAACGTAACATGAGATATTTCTAAAGAGCTATCCCCTCACAATCAGCTTTATTAGAGGCACAAATGTGCAGTCGCATTTAATGGTGTTTATTTTAAAACATATGATGTTTACCCTTGAAAGCCTATTATGCATCTCTCACCTTACAGTGAACAAAAGGGCATTGTAACTTCATGTAGTCTGACTGCTTGCTTAAATTTAGGTCTCCACTCAAATGAGAAAAATACTTGAGTATCAGTCATCTTGGAATCCAAGGGACTTATTCATAGAGCATGTGGGGCTCTATTCATAAATGATTTATGTCTTTGCATAAAGGGGAGTGGGGGTTGTGTGTGTTGCTCAGAGAACCATCGACTGCCTCTCCTGAGTAATTTATACAAGATCAATATTTATCAAAGTGAGCCAAGAATTGTGCCATAACTCTGAGAGCCAAATACTTCGTTTATAGTTCCCTCATCCATGGAAGGGAGCATGACAGATTAAAATGTTTGCATAAAAGCTACTTAAAGTGGTTCTCACTTGGTTCCTGTTGCTTTAGATACAGTGTGATGCTTTGGCAGATTTCTGTCATGGTTGTTGCTCAATGACTAACACATAATAGATGTTTTTAAAAATGTATTTGTTTAATTAATGACTAAAGGGAAATAATCAAACTTTCCAAAAAGAAATGGAGGTTGCCTACTGTATTTATTCTTTTAACATTTATTAATTAAGCACCTGCTAAGCCTTATACATTGAGTGAGGGCATAGTTATTGCTTGGAATGACCTCCCAGACATATGTGTAAACAAAAGCATATTAACGAAAAGTGCTGTGTGCTCTGTTAAAGATTTTTAAAAAGCATTTTGGAGATCCAGAGGAAGGAGGAACTAATTCTGCCCAGAGAAGTTTAAGAAAGGATAAGAATAAGTAGGAGTTAAACAAGCAGATGGTAAGTAGGAGAGGGAATTTTAGAAAGAAGTAATAGCATGAACAAAGAAAACAGGAGAGACTTTCAGAATGTAAGAATAGGGTAGATGTGTTACCATGAAAGATTAGAATACTTGTGTCAATAAGGGGAAATAAGTATGAAATTTTCCATTAGAATTGGATTATACACTCAACCAGTGAGCTATTACTTTACTTTGTAAGCAAGAGGAGACTTCTATAGATTTTTAAACATGGAAGTGAAATACTTAGATTTCTCTTAGCAGTTTATCTGGTGGCACAATTTATACTATCTGTATGTCATCTGGTAGAGAAGGATAGAAATGAGATGACATGAGTTTCAATTTACTTATCAATTCTATGAAATTTATATACATCTATAAGAAAACAAAGTATATCAGAACATGTGAAAAATAGCTATGAGGGGGATAGTGATTTTGATGGTGGCAGTCTCCTCTTGATTTCCAGAGTTTTCCTTTGATGTAGGAGTTAGGCCGTAATGGAGTCTACAAAAATGAGTGCTGAACAATAGTGTAATCCTAAAGTGATAAAATCATGCTGATGGGTTATGGTGATTTTTTATCATCAGCATCACCACCATGGTTGCTACTTAGAAACCACCAAGTTTAACAGCAGCTGTTAATTGTCCATCAATGCCTAAACACTCAGAAATATTTATAGAACTAATACAATTCACAGATTTCTATTGGCAGGAACTGGTCATCAGCATTTTGGGTGTCTTAGCTTCTATGCTTTTTCACATGGGGCTTGGCAAGAGTGATATGTATCAGAAACATATGGACAATTTTGGTTGGAGATGGGCTGTCTTCTTCCCCTCCCATCTCCTCTGGCCATGGAAAGTATCCTTGGATCCTTATTGTTTTTCTCCCTAATCATACATTTAAGAAAACCTCCTTTTTTAAATGAAATGCCCTATAGGAAATTTAACTGAACCTGTTAAAACTTCCACATGAAGCTAACAGTGAACTGAAGAATAGATATTACTGACCTTTATAAATGCAAATATGATGGCCTGGAGAGATTCGTGAAATGTATTTGTTTTTTCATTTTAAATCTTTCAGCATTGTTAAGAATTAAGACTCTGGCTAAGACTAGAACCAGGGGGCACCTGGGTGGCTCAGTGGTTGAGTGTCTGCCTTTGGCTTGGGTCATGATCCTGGGTCCTGGGATCGAGTCCCACATCAAGCTCCCCACAGGGAGCCTGCCTCTCCCTCTGCCTATGTCTCTGCCTCCTCTCTGTGTCTCTCATGAATAAATAAATAAAAATCTTAAAAAAAAAAAAAGACTAGAATCAAGACAGTTAAGTGCACAGCAATTACCTTGCATTTAATTTACTATATTTGAAAATTATATTTTTTCAGTTTCCTCAGGTTTAAAATAAATTCTAACACTTTTAACTTGCTTCTAGTTTTATTTGTACAAGATATTTTTACAACTACTATTTTATATCCTCCTAAAATGCTAAGAGTAAGTAGATATTAGTGATAATGATAATTCTAGTATTGGTAAGAATAATGTTTTTGATGATGATGAAGATGATGATGGTAACTATAATTTATTAGAATTTCCTATGTTCTAGTATGAGGTAAAGAACTAAAAATCTAGTTGTGAAGTGAGTTGTTTAAGGTTACACAGCCAGTAAGTGTTAGAACACATTTTGGAATTTAAGTCTTTTGTCTTCTGGTGCAAGCTCTTTCACCTAGGTATTGCCAAATCTCACACATAAAATGCCCTTCCTACTCCTTAGCTGATGCATCTCACTTCTATGGGAATTTGGATTAACTTCACCTCTGAGAAGCACTCCCTACCACTTCCCAGCCATGTGGTTTTAAGCAAATTATTTAACATGAGTTTACTCATCCTAAAAAAAAAGGAGGTAACAGCATGTGTCTTAGGCATTGTTGCAAAAATCAAGTGGCTTAACCTTGAAGGCCTAGAAAAGTCTGATGAGAAACAGGCACTCACTGGGTTGTGGTTCAGTTTTCTGCACTGGCCACTAGACTCCTTATGCCCTATCCTAATTATGAGGAGTACAAATGACAGAGAATCGTGTTAACCCAAGACTCAAAGACTTTGGATATCAGCACATTACTCCAAATCACTCATGTTAGCCAGTAAATTGC